TCAAAGATTTCTTTGGAGGTGGCCAAATCCCCCCTCTGCTATTCACTGCTGGAGGAACGTCCTGTCATTCTGGGCAGTAGATTCGTCCAGGACACCAGATCCTTGGCCGGCGTTTTTGCCCAAGCTCGATTTCGCTGCCACAATTTGCCCCTGCTGCGCGAGCGCCATTATCATCGAGTTCCATGGCGCTCTGAGACGCAATCAAACATAGACTCTCACTCTCGGATGCGGGATGCCGCCACATACGCGGTCACCATCGCGTTCCAGGAGACGATCACGGAACTCCTAATCGAACAAGATTGACGCCGCATCGATCGAATGCCCTGTTCTTGCTGCTCGCATTTGCCAGCGAAAGGGAATATCGCGCGATCCAAGAGCCTGAACCCGGCGTGGCGGCGTGGATCATTCGGGGGGATCGGCACGAGAGAAGATTTAGCTCCAGCAACGCTGCCGAGAGCGACTTTGCGGAGAAGAGAAATCCCTCGTTCATACAAAAAAATTTGATTGGGTCTCTGGCTGTGGGTTCGAACCTGTGACCTTGCCAATATATATTTTTATTCTAGCCAGATATCCGGCCATCAGGTTCCCGTCCAAAGTGTACACTAATTGCTTCTTAACGTATACCATAATGTAAACAGCGGCGCAAGAGATTTTCGTTTTGTGGGCGCATGGCGCGCAGCGCGTTGCTGCTGTCAAGCTCAAGAAAGAAACCATTCTCTTCCCGATGGAATGAAACTCTCACTTTCTCCATGCTCTGGCGAGGCCATGGCAAACAAAACGTCTGCATCTCAATCTGAGCAAGCAGCTGATGCAGAAGCTATTTTTGAGAAACAAAGTATAAGTATGCTGCAACAAGCAACATCCGTTTAAGATATTGTTCTGGAAGATGGCTTGTCTGAGCTCGAGTTTGATTTGATCCAGGCACCATGGTCCCGGGAATGTATTCTTCACTTGGTTGTCCAAGCTGGAGGTCCATAGGTTTGGATCCTTTCAAATCCTTGGGGCGTGAGACTCTTTTTCGAGCATCCAGTTATTTCTCTTGGCAGCTATCAATGCTGATCCGGGGGAGATCCACGCGCTAGTCGACTCTGTGGCCTGGATCACTTGTGCCAAGAGCACATTCGAGCCTCATTCGGGGACATTCCTTCGAGTGTAATCGACAGGGATTGAGAAGAATGGTTGGAGCTGCACTAGCATCGGACTTTTCCCCACTCTTTCATTCTCCAGCGCTGAAATTTGGCTCGACACTGGCCTCGTCTAGCTTCCCAGATCTCCCCAGCAGATCCACCAAGCATCTTAAGTGTTCCATGATCGTGGACATGCTGTAGTCTTGGGCTATGGACGACAAGTAGTTCTCATCCCGAGATGACTGCAGGCAGAAGAGCTCGCTGCGATCACAGTAGCTTGCAAGATGCAAAGGAGGGAGAAGCGTTGCAAAATTTTTTGATTGGGTCTCGGGCTGTGGATTCGAACCTGTGACCTTGCCAATATATTTGTTTATTCTAGCCAGATATCCGGCCATCAGGTTCCCGTCCAAATCGGACACTAATTGCTTCTTAACGTATATCATACCTTCACCATAACGGCGCAAGCTCTCGCTCATTTCTAAGCATCCTTTCTAAACCCGTGGGAACGTTTTATAAGGCTGTCATCCTTTCTGCGGTTGTCAAGCTCAAGAAAGAAACCATTATGGAATGAAGATTTCACCACTGAATCCCTGGGATAACCTACCTTTTCTTCTTTTGAGAAACAAGGTTTGCTGCATCCAACGACTGAATGTCCGAAGATGGCTTGTTTGAGCATTGAAGATTAAATTGATCCAGGCACGCTCTTGATTAGCAGCAAAGTTAAGAGTCCAAGGCTGGAGGTACTTCTCTGTTCTTTCAAATCCTGGGGAGCTTGAGATTTCATCAAGGGGCTTTCTTGTCGTGTTCTATCCAAGTTTGATGCTTGTTCTTAGCAGCAACAAGACCAAACATTTGAAAAAATCCATGAAATTTCAAGTCACACCCTGTGTGAAGAAGAGGGGCAATGCATGGAAAGTACTCGGGGCCAAAAGGTGGCTGTCCACAACGAGAGTATTTAGAGCAAAAAGGGCGAAAGATGAACTGTGGGAAAGCAATGCTTTCACTGCAACATATATCCCTTGTGCCCTGCTGATCAATCCAAAAGCCACAACGCTGGTGGTAGTGCAGCAGCTCCTCCGTCCCGCGTTTAAATTCTACAAGCTCTTTCCAGGTGCAAGGTTCCATGGCCGTTTGCGACAAGAGAAATGCTGGTCACGTCTTTCAAACTGGAGCTACCTGAATTGGATGCCGTGGTTGGCTGCTTGCGAACAGTTAAGCTATCAATCACTGTGCCTCTTTTGTTATTTTATTCACTCCAATGGTGGTGATTTGCCAGGTCCCCCAGGAAGCAGAGACTATCGTCAAGGAGACCATCCATGGTTTTAATGCTTCTCATTTGCCTCCTCCAAAAGAGGGCGTCATTCGCATGGAAGCCAACGGTGGATTCATCCTCCAGAAGATTAGCGCTACATAAGGTACGCTATTAGTTTTTTTTTTTTTTTTGTTTTCTTCTTAAGATAGTCACTACTTTTACAGAGCAGTAATACACCTGGACCTTAAGCTCGACCTTGTTCCGACATGGGTGATTAACTTCCTTGTGGGACAAGGCTTCAGGCTATACCTCAAGGTATATTTCTTTCCTTTTGGGGTGAAAAATGTCTAAGCTTTGTGTGTTACAACAGACTGTTTCTTGCAAAGGCTACTTTTGAGAAACAAAGCGTAAGTATGCTGCAACAAGAACCAGCAACAGCCGTTTAAGGTATTGTCGTGGAAGATGGCTTGTCTGAGCTCGAGTTTGATTTGATCCAGGCACCCTGGTCCCATCTATTCTTCACTTGGTTGTCAAAGCTTGGAGGTCCATAGGTTTCGATCCTTTCAAATCCTGCTCCAACTTTTGACGCCTTTTCTTGGCAATAATATATTGCTCAAGCTTACTCACCTGCAAAAAAAACTCCAGGGTTGCACCAGACATCCAATAAACCAGGGAAGCTCTTGAGGAAAATCCTAGATTCAACATAAACAAGTCACACCTCATGGAATTGGTGGTGATCTTGGTGCAACTAGCTAGTTAAGCTTGTCCTCAAACACATGGTTTTGGCATTTGTCTTTCACACTATTGTCCAATCTTGTGAAAGCCTTGACCGAGCTTAAACTCAATCAGCTGAGAACAAGCTGTCTCAAAAGTTTCCAAAGAGCAGAAGGCATAATACAAAGGTCACAAACTCGTCTCATCACAAGTTGCATTGTGGTCACTCCACGCCTTGGATGTTGATGAACTACAGGCCTCCATTTATCTTGGAAAATACATCTATGAGGAATGAAGCAATCTGGACAATAGTATAAGGCAAAATGAGCACGAGAAGAACCATACATACCGTGGAAAAGCATGAGTTCTACACTCAAAACGACACACACATGGCACGGGCAATGTTCGATCAAATACCCGAGTGCCACAACATTGTGGCATGGACTGCTAGGCCTACGCTCTCACTGGGAATTTCTTCCACGCTTTAATTCGATCCTCTACCAGGAGATGGTCTTGGAAGGAATGGCTCCCGACTAGATCACATTCACTTCCGAAATCAGAAAAGTTCTTTGTCAGGATGTACCATCTAGTAGGACGAAACTGGCCTCAAGAATGCTAGAGCATAAGTTATAACATGTAGCTACGTGGGGCTCCTCGCCAAATGATGAACCTATGCAGAGACTTGCCCGATCGTGGAGCACTAGTACACGCAAGGTGGATTGTTAACATTGAGGATGTCATTGTCGTGTGCTCAAGTGGCCTGAAGAACGCCACCGTGATTGGATTCCTTGTGATTCCATCACTCTTTTAGCTAATAGAGCTTCTAATTACAATCTTTTACAAGGAACCCACAGTACAAAGACTAAGCTCGGTTACAATCTTTTAAAATGAACCCAGGACTAAGCTCAATAATGAAGATTAGGCCATTGTTGGAATGTCCATTTTAAGGAGTTGTGCTCTTATTGGATAGCTCATTGTAACGCTTGAGCTAAATGCTTTTCAATTAAAACGTACAATAATATGCTTTGCCTCCTGTGGGAACATGCAGTCTATGTTAGGAGATCTCAGCAGGCATGGTGGATCAATGTTCCATCTGGAACGGATGAAATTTCTTGCTCAAGGTGCTCGTCTGACCACATTCCACAGCAATATTCTGAAGCTGTACGTGAAGGAGATATTCGATGGGTTATACAAAGCAGTGCTTCAAAACACGCCGTGCACCACGGCGTGTTGGCGTGGTGACACGAACACGGCCCCCAGCTGTGTTAACACGGGCCGTGTTCATTGACTCGGTCAATGCTCCAAAACACGGCTCCAAACACGGTTGAAACACGGTCAAATACCGTGTGACCACGCTGTGTTCTAAAACAATAGCTCACGTGGTTCACATGAGCGTTTTGTGCTTTGATGTTTTCTTGTCTTGCGATCAATCAAAAGGTTTTTCCAAGGATCTATGGCGATTTTCTTGGGCTGGGAATGCCCTCTCTAGGATTCTAGTGCTGGAGTGGGAGGAATGGCACTCAGCCACGCCTGATTTCGCTGCAAAAAATTCCTGATCATTGTCTCTAGGTTTGTAGATTTTCTCTCCCAAATTTTCTCCTTGGATTGCTTCTGCCATAATTCTTAGCTGCTTGGCACTGCATCTTTGTAGATTGCTGTGATTCTTAGTTGCTTGGCGTTGCGATTGTGTTATTGACGGCGTGATTCTAAAATTTTGAGTTTTTCAAAAATTTTTTAGGCGCAAGGCGTGACCAATTGTGGATTGGAACAGGAGTAGGGTGTGGGATTTTAGAGGCTGAGCAATTGTGGATTGGAGCAGCAGCAGGGTGTGGGATTTTAGAGGTTGGACTGAGTGATTGTGGATTGGAGTAGAAGCAGGTGCAGGATTTTAGAGGTTGAGTTGAGTGATGGCATCTGGGAGCCAGAGCAGGAGGACTTCAACAGGGCAACATCCATCATCTGTTTGGTGGGAAGAAGCAATCCTTGGTGATCAAACAAACTGCTGTAGTGGGCATCGACGCTGGTCTTGCAAGTGGTGTTCGTTGAGAGACAAAGTTTCAGGTGTGGATCGTGTGAGGGGACATCTCACAAGGGAAGCTGGTCATGAAATCTTAAGTTGTGATGTCATCTCAGCAGAGAAGAGACAACAGCTTAGGGAGATGGTTAAAACCATCGACGACCAGGTTTTGGCTGGAAAACACCAAAGCAAGAAACGAGCAATTTCTACATGTGTCGAAGGCATCCAAAGCACTGGAGGAGAGAGTTTTGTTGCTTCCCAGAGTTCTACACCAGATGGCAATTCTGTAGAAGGAATTTCCAAGTTTTTTTTGCAATGACAGTAGGGAATCCGGGATTCTTTTGATCCAGAAAGGAAGGAAGCAATGGATATGGCTATAGGACGATTTTTCTGGAACGAGCACATACCATTTGTGAAAGCTCGTTCTCACCATTTCAAGGAGATGGTGCAGCAGATTGCAAGGCATGGAATTCCCTACGATCTTCCAACAGAGACAGCATTGCGAGAGCAATTGTTGCAAGTGGAGAAAACCAATCTTGAAGTTCAACTTGCCAAGGTGAAGGCACGTTGGAAGAATTGTGGGGTTACTCTTGTTGCTGATGCATGGAATGACACAAGAAATCGACATATCATGGGGCTTGTTGCATATAGTAGAGGACAGTCGACTTTTCTTGAGGCCATTGATATATCTTCTAGTGGGAAGACGGCTGATAACGTTTTTGCGACATGGGAGCGAGGTATCGAGATTGTTGGAGAGGAGAATGTTGTTCTTATTGTCACGGATGGTGAGGCTTCAAACAAGGCTGCTGCTAGGCTTCTAGAGGCGAGGAAGCCAAAGATTATGTGGGCTCCGTGCTTAGCTCATTGTTTGAACAACATTCTCAAGGATTTCGCAAAACTACCATGGATGGTTGGGCTGCTAGACAAGGGAAAGACTCTGGTTGGCTTCCTCCGGAACCATTCGTATCTAGTAGCGATTTTGGCATCCTTCTCTTCACGACTGTCACGAATGTGACTTCGAGTATCGAAAGATACTTGTCGGCCAGTCCTTGCGGGCACTCTTTCCTTACTGCCATGACGGCAGGAGGTCGGTACTGCTAGTTCCCTTCAATAGCCCCTTTTGTCCAAGTGTTAGCTTACTGGGCTTAGCATTTGTACTTAGCCAGATGAACATAAGGTAGGAACTCCTATGTGTTTCTAGCTGAGCATTCTCGGCCTGGCTCTTAGTTCTCTTTTGCTCTGTCTTGCACTGGCTTGGCAAGAACCCTCGCGTATTGAGACTAATCCCTCAATATCGCTGGATGATAACTTACTGTGTCTGCCAAACACCCTCGCTATCACGCCCTTTGTGTTAGTCTCATTTCGGTCCCAAATGCTATTTATGGAAAGTGTCTAGATTTGCTCATTTGACATATCTACGGAGTGTAGAAGTTAGCCTGAACACAATGGTGTTCGTCCAGTGTCCAAATTTGCAATCTAGCGCCATTCCATATTTGGTAAGTTTTGGACTTGTCCCAGAGACTAACTTCTGGCACTAAGGGAGGCTTGGGGTGAAAGCCCAAAGCGTGTGTCCCTTAAGGGGGGGGGGCTGTGGGGGGTTCCAAATGTATAGTAGGGATAGTGGTTGGAATGCATGTCCGACCACCTGAGACATTAGTTTGGCTCCCGCTGGGCTGTGTCGCTCCTTGTTCTGCATCTGGCTTGGGTCTAAGCCCAAGCTCCACGCTGCTCTAGTCGGTGGAGTACCCTCCTTCTCGCGTTAGGCCACCGGTATGCCAAAATTGTGCCAGACTCCGTCTGACACCATTTTGCATGCAGGTGCTGGATACGGGGAGCTGGTGCTCGTGGGATTGTACCGGACCCTCATTTTGTAGCGCAACGGGTTTGGAGTTCGGCTCCAAATTCAAGTGTGCTACATTTGGTATTAGAGAAATTGTCTCAACGATTCCTATCCAACTTTTGTCAGATTTTCTGACTCAAGTTGCATACGCAGAGACTTTTCTAGTAGATCTGAAGCGACCTGTGTAGGATTAGTTGGATTGCACCATTCAGTAAGAACGTTGTATGCATGTTCAGTTACTGATAGAGGCATGCATGCAGCTAGCGGGATGGTGAAATGGAACCGTGCTGATGACGCTGAAACCTCTAGATGGGCGAATCGAGAGGAGGAAACTCCTGCTAGAGATGCTGCGGAAAAGGCAGAGGTTGAGTCGGAAGAGGAAGAGCCAAATGCTACGGCGTTGCAGTGTACAGCTCAGGAAGTCGAGATCAAGAATTTGCGAAGGGAGATTCGCAAATTGAAGAAGGAGAACAAGAAGAGGAAGAAAGAAGCTGAGGCAGCTAAACCAGCTAAGCCTAAGCAACCGAACTCCTTCTCAAGTTCTGAGGACGATGAAGTTCTGCAGCTGCCCCCGGTTGCATGAGTTTCAAAGTTCAAGCCCCCGAAACCACCCAACTTCAGAGGCATATGGGGCTATCAGGTTTTGGAAGACTGGGTCTACGATATGGAAAACTATTTCATAGCGGGAGACGTAGATGATCATACGAAAGTTGCGTGTGCGCAATCCTTTCTCACCGATCATGCCAAAACTTGGTGGCGCCAGGTGTGTGCTGAAAAGGGGCAGACTAGAAGTTGGACCAAGATGCGGTCTCGTATCCATAAGGAATACTTGCCGGATGATCTTGGTTTGAGACTTCGTGCGGAGCTGCGGCGGTTAAAGCAACGAGGGGATCTCATGCATTACGTTAATGCGTTTGCTCAGAAGCACATTATGATTGCAAATATGAGTGACGAAGATGCTCGGAATTATTTTCTAGAGGGTTTAAGTTCATTTTCTCGCAATGAGATTTTGAAGTTTAAGCCAAAGACGTATCTGGAGTGTAAGGAGGCAGCACAGCAAGTTGCCTTTAGTCACTCGCTCATGGAACAATATCAGCAACCGTATGCTGGTAACTCGGACAAGAATAGGAATTCTGGGAATAAACAAGGTGATCAGAAACAGAGGGTGGAAAGCGCCGCCAGGAGCATGTTTGAGAGCATGAAGATGCGCACCTTGGTTTCCTGGACCACCAACGCTCAAAACGCTTGAAGGACAAAATCAGGAGTCAGAACCATACTCAGGTGCTTCAATCCCTTTCGAAAGCTTCCACAGTCAGACCATTTGCTTCTACATCCCAAAGAAACCAGGGGATACCTCCAAACCATTCAAACGCCATTTCAGCAGCATTCACTCTCTGCGTTATCTCTTTGGCCTCTTCCGATCCACTCTCGTAGTCTGTCACGCGTTTCCTCCAAGAAGACACAAGAGCATCGTACTCGTGCTTTTCCCACGCAGGCAGATAGCGAGTGAACGTTGTCCACTTGGCTTTTCTGACATTGAACTCGTCTGGTGATGAAGCAGCAACAAGGGTTTTATTTCCAACCATCCGCCCCAAGTCCACTCACAGATCGATGAGATGGTATCTACTTTGCTGTCCAGCACGATCTCCTGAGGGAAGTCTTCTCTATTCACCACCCTGAGCTTGTTACCCTTGAACATCAAAACAGTCGCTCTGGACTCGTAGATCATGACCGGAAGTACCAGACGAATGCAGATTTACCAACCCCCGAATTTCCATTCAAATGGCAGCACAACATCCACATGAACGGCACCAGAATCTTCCTGATCTCTTTGTACAACCCATCGAATATCTCCTTCACGTACAGCTTCAGAATATTGCTGTGGAATGTGGTCAGACGAGCACCTTGAGCAAGAAATTTCATCCGTTCCAGATGGAACATTGATCCACCATGCCTGCTGAGATCTCCTAACATAGACTGCATGTTCCCACAGGAGGCAAAGCATATTATTGTACGTTTTAATTGAAAAGCATTTAGCTCAAGCGTTACAATGAGCTATCCAATAAGAGCACAACTCCTTAAAATGGACATTCCAACAATGGCCTAATCTTCATTATTGAGCTTAGTCCTGGGTTCATTTTAAAAGATTGTAACCGAGCTTAGTCTTTGTACTGTGGGTTCCTTGTAAAAGATTGTAATTAGAAGCTCTATTAGCTAAAAGAGTGATGGAATCACAAGGAATCCAATCACGGTGGCGTTCTTCAGGCCACTTGAGCACACGACAATGACATCCTCAATGTTAACAATCCACCTTGCGTGTACTAGTGCTCCACGATCGGGCAAGTCTCTGCATAGGTTCATCATTTGGCGAGGAGCCCCACGTAGCTACATGTTATAACTTATGCTCTAGCATTCTTGAGGCCAGTTTCGTCCTACTAGATGGTACATCCTGACAAAGAACTTTTCTGATTTCGGAAGTGAATGTGATCTAGTCGGGAGCCATTCCTTCCAAGACCATCTCCTGGTAGAGGATCGAATTAAAGCGTGGAAGAAATTCCCAGTGAGAGCGTAGGCCTAGCAGTCCATGCCACAATGTTGTGGCACTCGGGCATTTGATCGAACATTGCCCGTGCCATGTGTGTGTCGTTTTGAGTGTAGAACTCATGCTTTTCCACGGTATGTATGGTTCTTCTCGTGCTCATTTTGCTTATACTATTGTCCAGATTGCTTCATTCCTCATAGATGTATTTTCCAAGATAAATGGAGGCCTGTAGTTCATCAACATCCAAGGCGTGGAGTGACCACAATGCAACTTGTGATGAGACGAGTTTGTGACCTTTGTATTATGCCTTCTGCTCTTTGGAAACTTTTGAGACAGCTTGTTCTCAGCTGATTGAGTTTAAGCTCGGTCAAGGCTTTCACAAGATTGGACAATAGTGTGAAAGACAAATGCCAAAACCATGTGTTTGCAGACAAGCTTAACTAGCTAGTTGCACCAAGATCACCACCAATTCCATGAGGTGTGACTTGTTTATGTTGAATCTAGGATTTTCCTCGAGAGCTTCCCTGGTTTATTGGATGTCTGGTGCAACCCTGGAGTTTTTTTTGCAGGTGAGTAAGCTTTCACGGTTTCAGAGCAATATATTATTGCCAAGAAAAGGCATCAAAAGTTGGAGCGCCCCGAGGATTTGAAAGGATCGAAACCTATGGACCTCCAAGCTTTGACAACCAAGTGAAGAATAGATGGGACCAGGGTGCCTGGATCAAATCAAACTCGAGCTCAGACAAGCCATCTTCCACGACAATACCTTAAACGACTGTTGCTAGTTCTTGTTGCAGCATACTTACGCTTTGTTTCTCAAAAGTAGCCTTTGCATCAGCTGCTTGTCAGATTGAGACGAAGAGTCCACCCATTTTGTTTGCCATGGCCTCGCCAGAGCATGGAGCAAGTGAGAGTTTCATTCCATCGAGAAGAGAATGGTTTCTTTCTTGAGCTTGATTGCAGCAGATTTTTCTAGACATGCAAAACAACAGAAATCTTATAAAACCCACCTTGCATATGTCTCATGAATAAGTTTGGACTTTTCAGGAGTATTGGTGGGCCTCAAGCTCCTCTTTGTTTATAAATTGTTTATAAATGTAAATGCTCTTGCTTAAGAATACTTCTTATGAAAAGCACCTCAACTCTTGTATCCATTTTCGTGGCTCGATTTTGGTAGCATCTGTAACGTTATGCGGCTGTAGAGTGGCTGTTGCCTGATGCATTCGTGAAACACTTTGCTCTCTTTAACAGAAGAAACAGTCTGTTGTAACACACAAAGCTTAGACATTTTTCACCCCAAAAGGAAAGAAATATACCTTGAGGTACAGCCTGAAGCCGTGTCCCACAACTTGACGCCCAAGGAAGTTAATCACCCATGTCGGAACAAGGTCGAGCTTAAGGTCCAGGTGTATTACTGCTCTGTAAAAGAAGTAGTGACTATCTTAAGAAGAAAACAAAAAAAAAAAAAAAACTAATAGCGTACCTTATGTAGCGCTAATCTTCTGGAGGATGAATCCACCATTGGCTTCCATGCGAATGACGCCCTCTTTTGGAGGAGGCAAATGAGAAGCATTAAAACCATGGATGGTCTCCTTGACGATAGTCTCTGCTTCCTGGGGGACCTGGCAAATCA